GCTTTACTTCTTCCATCGAGCTGCTTTTGAATTTTTTGTCAAAAATCAGTTGGCTGGTCTTGTAAGGGGCTATTTCTGGGTTCCCTTATTTTGTTTTATAAAGTGAAGTTCTATTCCTCCACCAATGTCACACAGTCTTAATATATTTGTGTATGTCTATATAGATATATACATGTGAAAATATGCAAACAGAGACAGTCTTTAAGTAGGATAGAGTGATTCCTCCTACTTTATTTTCTTTTTTCAGAATGACTTTAGCTATTCAAGTACCATTTTGTTGTTGAGTCGCTCAGTCATGTCTGACTCTGTGAGCCCATGGACTGCCTCATACCAGGCTTCCCTGTCCTTCACTATCTCCCAGAGTTTACTCAGACTCATGCCCATTGTGTAGATGATGCCATCCAACCGTCTCATCCTCTGTCATCCCCTTCTCCTCCTGCCCTCAATTTTCCCCAGCATCAAGGTCTTTTCCAATGAGTTGGTTCTTCCCATCAGGTGGCCAAAGGATTGGAGCTTCAGCTTCAGTATCATATAAATGTGGGGAAATTCTTGTCTGTATTTACAAAAAGAATCTTAAACCTGTGTATCAATTTAGCAAAAATGGACATCATCAGAGTGTTGAGTCTTTCAGTCCTTGAACAAGATTGTCTCCGTTTATTTAGACCTCCTTTGATTTCTTTTCTCCACATTCTGTATTTTTCAGCGTACAATCCCCCATCCCAGCTTGACCTCATCTTAACTAATTACATCTGCAATCAGCCTATTTTCAAATAGGTCTTCAGCACATATATTCAGGGGGTTCACAGTTCAAGCATAATAGAACCAAGAATGGGAATGGCTTGTCTTTCTTTTCTTGTCCAAATTCTGGCGCTTCTCTGCTGCAGAATTTTTCAAATTTCCTCATTTTTCAGACAGTAAACTCAAAGTTGCCAGTCTGTGGCTTCTAGAATCAGAAGTGAAAGTGATAGTCGTTCAGTCATGTCCAACTCTTTGTGACCCCATGGACTGTAGCCCACCAGGCTCCTCTATCCATGGGATTCTCCAGGCAAGGACACTGAAGTGGGTTGCCATGCCCTCCTCCAGGGGATCTTCCTGACCCAGGGAGTGAACCTATGTCTCTTGCATTGCGGGCAGATTCTTTATCTTCTGAGCCACAAGTCCAGTCTAGAGTTAAAGTGACCTGCTTTCCGCCCACAGCTCCCACGACTTTTTCCAACTCCCATGTCCCCTTTGCCCTTTGTCTCCACGAGAAGTCAATCAACAAACACGTGGGTCCATGAGGTCCCAGGTCCCTGTGGCCCAAGAGGTGACCAAGGATGCAGTGAAGTCAGATTCTTCTGCAGCTACAAAATCCATGGGTATTTGCACATTGCCTAATGCTGGGACTTCGCCTTTTCTATTTGTTTAAAGCCATAAAATGAACACAGTTCCAAAACAATCAAAATTCTGTGAACATGAGGCTCAGTAACAGTGCAAAGTCAGCAAATTTTGACAGTATTCACCATGATTTATGCTAAGCCTATATTATACTCACAAAAAATAAAAAAAAAAAGGTTCAGTAAAACACACAATAGGATTTTGTACAAAATATTTAATAAATCATGAAGCCCTTTGTGAAGAATTAATCTTCCTTCTTCTTCACTCCTGGATCCAAGGCACATATTAGGGTGCTTTCTAGGGCCAAAGGGGGTGACCTGCCTGTGCCCCCCTTGCCTCTCCATAAGCCAGTTTTCTCAGATTGGCTCATTTCCTCAGTGTCTCTGAAGGCATCTTCAGTGGATTGAGTGATGGCCCTTAAAAAGCTGTGTCCAAGTCCTGAACTTATTTGAAACAAGGGTCTTTGAAGATGGGGTCAAGTTAAGGATTTGGAGAAGAGATGGTCCTGGATTATCTAGATGTGCCTCAGAAGCAGTGACAGGTGTCCTTACAAGAGAAAAAAGAGGCAATGTGAGACACCCAGATGAAAAGACACGGATGAAACCAGAGGAGGCCCGTGAGGATGGAGGCAGAGGCTGGACAGATGCGGCCACAGCCCAGGGACCCCTCACATCCCAGAAGCCGGGCAGGGGGAGAGGGGCTTTCCCCAGAGCCTCTGTGCGAGGGTGGCCCTGCTGACCCCGGGGTTCAGGCCTCTGGCCTCCAGGACTGTGAGAGGATAAACCCATGCCCCTTGCTGTAGGCCACACCATCTCTGGTGCTTTGATACCTCAGTTCCTGGAAACACACAAATCTATGATCATCCTCTGAATCAAAACCAAGACAGCAGCAGAAAAAATGATGAGGATTAGGGTCAGGGTTGAGGTTGAATTTAGGTGAGGTCTACCAGCCGAGTCGCCCCTGGCCTGTCCCCAGATGAAGCCCCACTGTGCACTTGCTGTATGTTGAGTGGGCCCTGGGGCTTCTCCCGGAGGGTCCCATCCTCTGCAACCGGACCCCGAGGGTGCAAACCCCTCCCTGAGGATGAGGCTTGTCCGGCAGGCCGTGGTCTATGCAAGGGACACCTCGCTGCCCTGACGCATGCGGCCTACACTGGTCACTGTCAGGAAGGGCCGAGAGCCCCCGGGAGCATCTGCCCTGTGCTGGTTTGGCCTCGGGAGAGCCTGTGAGGCCAGTAGGAGCCATGGATCCCCGGGGTGCAGGACCCAGGTGGAGAGCGCCTGGACCAGGAGCAGCAGGACGATGCTCATGGAGGGGCAGCCTCTGGGGGCAGTGACACAGCTACCTCTGGGCCCTTCCTTCCAGAAGCTTCCTGGCCCAGACTCAGAGGGGCGCGGGTGGGGGTCAGGGGGAGGGCGTGTCTGTCCAAACTGCCCATGATGGCTGAAGGCCTGTCCTTGGAAGGTGGACATGCCCCCCACACCCCAGTGCGTGGGACGTGTGCAGCTCCAGGCCACAGGATTGGGTCACTACAGCCTCACCGGCTGGAGGCCACGTGGGGGCACTGAAGCCCATGGGCACACGGGCTCCCCGCGGGACTGGGCAGGGATCGGGGGGCCTCCCTGAGCCACTTCATGCCACCCGGCCAGCTGGCCCTGTAGCCCAAGTGTGTCAGCAACTCGGCAACAGGCACGTGAACCAGAAGAAGACCCACAGGGCCGTCACCGACGACTGTGTCTGCTTGTGTGCCGTCCCCACCTGTCTAAGTACCTTGTCAGATATCATCAGATCACTCAGGGAAGACGGTCTGACGGGTCTGCTCACGGTGAGAATGCTGAGCACAGAGGAACCTGCCCACAGGCCCAGGCTGCACCCACAGCCCCTCACCCACCGGGGTTCCCTGAGATCCCCAGGGCCAGTGGGCTAGCAGACAGATCAGATGTGGGAGAAGTCCATGGGAAGGGCTCAGGAAAGAGACAGAAAGTGAGATGCACTTTGGCGTGGGAAGAGTCAACCTGCAGGGACCAGAAGGGGCAAAGCTCCGCCCATCAGGGGTCTCCCCGTCACGGGTCCAGGCCTGCTGCTGCCCAGGTGACTGCTCAGCTCCGCCCTGGTACCATCTCACCCCCATCGCCAATGCTCCCAGCCCGAGGGCCGGGCGGGCGAGGGTGGAGAGCCACCTTCTCAAGGTCAGAGCCGCCAGGCCGGGAACAGTGGCTCCAGAGCCAGCACGCCATCCTACCCAGGGCTCATGTTTCCAGGCCTCGCCCCACAAGTCAAGCTCCCCGACCCCCTCCCTGGGTGCTCACAAATGCACTCCTCTGCATTTACATATTCCTTCTCTATCTTATTTGACCTTTCTGAGACACAAGGTCCTGAGATCCAGTTCCCAGGGAGGGATCTGTTTACCTGCTTTCACTTCCCCCACCGGGATCGGGGCGCCGTCAGCAGTTTTGAGCACGGTTTGCTAAGCAGCTGCTGCCCGGGCGGCGCTGGCATCACGCACCCGGGGGGGCTCAGAGGACACGCAGCTACCTGGCTTGGCTCTCCTGCAGCGCTGCCCTGTGACCTGCTCTGCCCAGGGCGGTGAGGGATGGAATCTCTCCATCTCAGACGCGGAGACTAAGGGAGACCACCTGCCCTCTAATTGGAGCACAGCGATGAGATAAGAAGGCTATTTGTCAGGAGCTCGCAGGCTTACACCCTATGTGAGGAAGGGCATGGTTCCCAAGTCCAAACAGACCTGGGAGTCCTCAGCAAACACAATATCACTCCAAAGAGGAACACGCACAGGAGAGCAAAGCCAGAAGGGGACGACTCTCTGCTGGGATCAGAGAGGGCGTTTCCTAGTCCTCCGGTCAGAATTCCCAGCATGGGGTAGGGGTCACTTATGAGATAACCCACAGGAACTTAAAGCGGGGGGCTATCACACAAGGAGACCCGTCCTCTGGGGAGAGAGGGGAAGAAAGATCCAGAGGAAGAGACAAGGTGGAGAAGGCTAGTGATACCCCTTATGGGTTCAGAATTAGCAAGAGGCGGATTTCAGAGGTCCCGAAACTGCCCTGGTGATCCCCGGAGCTCTAGGACCTATGAAAATGGTCGGTGTGATGGCTTTGCAACTAAGGAAAGGATACCGCATTCACACAAGCAGGAGGCAGCGGATCATGTGATGACAGACCTGCTGGGGCTCTAGGACAGACACGTCAGGTGCCTTGGTTTTCTTTTTGGAAAATAATCTCTAGGCCCTTCTGACACCTTAGCACTGTCATTGTGATCAGAACTTAGGTGCAGCTGGCTTACTGACCCAGAGGCACAAACAGGACAGCAGACACTTCAGGACGCGGATGTCTATTTTCCTGCTTGGGCACCTAAGCCTAAGGCAGCAGCCGGGGCTGGCTCTGAGCACCTCCTCACGCCGGCGCCTGCGACAGAAGCCAGTCCCCAGGCTGCAGCAGCCCCCTGTGCTGGAAGGGGAGCTTCCGAGAGCCAGAAATGTCACACCCCAGTGGGAGGGAAACAGAGGCAGAGAGCGGAGCTGTGCGCGCGGGGACTCTGGAGAGCCCGTCTGCAAATGACTTTGGTCCCCCGGCGTGATGAACCGCGGAGTCGCAAATCCTTTTTAGCTAATTGCTATCAGCTTGTGAGGTTCCCCTTCCATGTTCAATATCAATTTTCATGGCCACGGGAGATAGCGCCTCTCCCCTGAGCCCGCTGGCGGCCGGCCGATAACAGGCGGCGGCAGCACTTAGAGCTGAAAGGGGCGTGTCCTCTAAGGCGCAGCTGCTGCCTGGACGGAGCGAGGCTGGGGCCAACGCCGCGCCCCCGGCTCCCGACGCGCCCACGGCCGTGACCTTCACGCAAAGACGTCCTCGGTGCCGGCAGGCTGTCCACACGGCCTGGCCCCACGCGGACTTGGCCTTCCCGGGGACGAAAGCGAGACTCTGAGCCATCCTTGGCCGGTCTGCAGTACAACATAGAGAATAAACTCGCTTACGACAAGAAGGGGATGCCGTATTTGAAGATGCAGGCGTGGGAAGGCCACGGGCCCTCAGCCTGGCGTGTGTAGAGCTGCTCTGAGTGAGGCTCTGAGCAGCATCGGTGCCACCACGCCACAGAACAAACACAGGCTCGGCCTCGAGTTTGATCCCAAGGAGTTCTTTGGATTTTCCAAAGTGGCAGAACGTCCCTGTGTGCCAAGGAATGCTTTCATGACAAGGCAGTCACACCCAGATGCGTATTTATCCTATAAACCCACGGGGACCATGACACAAACGCAAAGGAGGCTGAGCTAACGTAAAGATCTGGACCAGATCGTCTTAATGGAGGATCTTGGCTGTAAAGATTTCAGCTGTGCAGGTGACACGAGGGTGAGCTTTAGGCGACACGTGTGTTTGCTCCCGAGTGAGGACACAAGGCCTTCGCGGTCTGGAGACCCATCAGCAGGGAGAGGCGTTAAGTACCGCCGTGCGGCCGTGAATTGGATACCCGGCCCGCAGTCTCAGCAACCCCTGGAGGGCTCACAGACGGTCATGCAACAGGCATTCTCGGGACAGCACTACAGAACACGCACACTAGCTCCTTGGGAGACACAGCGGAGCCCAGAGCCGTCGGGGGCTCAGAGGGCAGGCTTAGCCCCGCCCAGCAGAGATGGCGCGGGTGAGCCAGCCGGGCCTCCTGGAGGAAGATGCCTTGGGGCCCTGAGTAATGGAGATGGTGGCTTTGCACCACGGCTCTCGTTTGTATCAGATGAACATGGCAAGAACACAAATATATGCAATTTTTAGATCATTCAGGTTAAATAACGTGTCTCTTTGGTGGACTGTCTACGCAACCAAGACAAGACCCAGTGCTGGAGACTTGCCTCATATCCTGCGTGAGCACAAGGAGCCTTCTCAACTGTGTCCACCTCTGTCCACATGTGTCAACGGCAGAGCCAGGGGGCACAGACCTGAGCTGCCCCCACCAAGGCCCAGGACCCACGTGGGCCCCCCTTCAGCCCCCACACCTTCCAGCCTGAAAAGCCAGGGTCCTGCTGTCACCAGCCCAATAGTTAGATTGAGCTCAAGGGGAACACACTGGCCTTCTTCATCTTTTCTCCAAAAAGGGCAGCCGTGCGTCTTCAGGGAGTGTTGAAGCCACTCTGTCCACTTCTGCTTTTGTTTACGTGGACGGCCCTGGGCCTGTGGTCTTGGACGCCACAGATCTGTGGGACTGCAGTGCTGAGGATGATTCTCAGGCCAGGAATGTACAGCTTCAGACAGTGGTAGTTAATCATCCAACACAACTGCTATCATCTTCTTAATCTGCTTCTAATAATGTGTTCTGAAAGCACAAAATTCATAAAGTATCCTGAATTTCATGAATAGGATTAATGAGCTTATTCAACAAATATGCAGCATTATTATATTAATGTGAGCTTTTCTACACACTTTTGTGTATTTCACACTATTCCATTACATCTTGTATCCTTTCCTTGGTTATACAGATGAGACAATGTATTCATACTTATTAATTATATCACTTTAAATTATTGGAAAATTATCACTAAATCTTTTCAGTTGATTCTATTAAAACATAAAGCCTATAATGGACTGATGCTTATATTTGCACTTGATTTATTTATATTTACCCAAAGATTTCCTGTGGGCTTCCCAGATGGCTGAGTGGTAAAGAATCTGCCTGTCAATTCAGGAGACATGGGTTTGATCCCTGGGTCAGGAAGACCCCCCAGAGAAGTAAACGGCTACCTACTCCAGTATTCTTGCCTGGGAAATCCCGTGGACAGAGGAGTCTGGCAACCACGGGGTCACAAAGAGTCAGACATGACTTAGCACCGAAAGAACAACAACAAAAGATCTCCTCTGATGTTACGGCCGTCCTAAGCCACAGGGTGCTGCTTCTCCACGGAACTCAGGGCATAGGTGTTGTTACAGCAGAGTGCCAGCCCCCCAGGACCCACCACCATGTCCCCCTGGGCCACCCCCACCCAGGACCCACCAGCTGCTTTCCCAGTGCCACCTCCCTGGACCCGTGACCCCCTCAGTGCAGGCTCATGGCCAGCCAAGCCCTGCAGGGGGCTGCGCTGAACCGTCACAGGCCAGGCACCTGCACTTGCTGAGGCAAAGGCTCTCCAGCCCACCACCCCTGCTCTTAGAAGGCACGGGCTTGGCCTAGAAAACACGGACGGTTCAGGGCACCCCACGTCCGCCAGGCCTTTCTGATGGTTCATTAGCAGACTCCTTGGGCTTAAGGCACAGGAGACATGCAATCAAGACGATGAATGGAAACGGTGACGGAGTCTGGCGGGCTCCATCGTCACCATCTCCTTAGTCGCCCATCCCCAAGGAAGTTGGTTATAAAGGGCGCAAAGCATGGAGAAGCAAGGCCCTGAGCGGGACTCAGGTTCATCACAGGAAACGGAGCGGTTTCTGCTCTGGATGGGTGCCGCCTGCTGCCTGAGAGTCTGCACATGCCGGGGGCCACCTGGCGACAACTCAGAGAAGAGGTTCCTGTGCTGGACCCTGCCTCCAGTATCGGAAGCCGCACAACAAGGTGTCTTGTCCTCCACGTCTGGGGTCATCCGAGACGACTAATGCTCCTCCTGCAGTGGCTCCACCAGCAAGCCGGGTGCCCCACTCAGCAATCCGCGTGTCCCTCAGCCACCCTCGCGTCCCTCAGCCATCCACGTCCCTCTCAGCCATGCGCGCATCCCTTAGCCATCCGTGCATCCCTTAGCCATCCGCGCATCCCTCAGCCATCCGTGCCTCCCTCAGCCACCCTCGCGTCCCTCAGCCATCCACGCCCCTCTCAGCCACCCTCGCGTCTCTCAGCCATCCGCGCATCCTCAGCCATCCACGCCCCTCTCAGCCATCCGCGCATCCTCAGTCATCTGCGCCGCCCTCAGCCATCCGCGCATCCTCAGCCATCTGCGCGTACCTCAGCCACACGCATCCCTCCACCATCCACACATCCCATCCCGTGTTCTCAGGGCCCCTCCCCCGGTGTGCCGGGATGCCCCCTCTCCTCTGCACTGGCTCCACCGCAGGGGGTGGTCTTCTCTTCTGGCACTGGGGCGGGGGCAGGGCCTCGAACTGGTTTAGAGGGAGGGGACGCTGAGGCCCTGAAGCAGAACGGGACAGGCCGGAGGGGGCTGGGGGCATGAAGCCTTTCCTTAGGGCGGACGTGCATTCAGGAATCAGCTCTGAAAGGCTGCTGCCCCAGAAGTAGGGCGGATGGCAGACTCACACACACACATGCACTCACACCTATGCACACTCACACACGTGCTCACACACACTCTCACCCACATACAGTCTCACTTTCACATTTTACACACTCATACACACATGCACTTAACACTCACACATTCACACGTACACACACACATTCTCTCACATGCACCCTCACACATTCATACACACTCACATACACATGCATTCACACACATTTGCATACACTCACACTCATGCATTCACACATTCACACATACACACACATTCTCTCACATGCACTCTCACACATTCATACACACTTACATACACATGCATTTATACACATTTACATACACTCACACTCAATGCATTCACACACATTCACACATACACACACATTCTTTCACATGCACTCACACTCACATACACATGCATTCATACACATACACTCTCACACTCACACACACTCACACACACATGCACTCTCACAGTCACACATATTCATACACGTTTACACACACACACACTCACACATTCACACACATGGACTCACACACACTCTCACAAACACATTCACACTCACAGTCATTCACACACTCATTCACACACACACACTCACAAGATGAAGGAAGCTGGCTCTCTGAGCCAACCTATGCTGAGGATTAAGAAGAGTGCTTAATGTAAATTGAAATTATCTACTTAAGTGGTGGAGGTCAAATTACTAACGATACACAGCATTCTTTCAAGGCACACTGGAATCCATTTTTTTTACAAAAATGCCCCCTCTCGCTGATGAGCAGGGGCCCCACTCTTCCAGAGCGTCCTCCCGCCCCAGCCCCGCGCTCTTCTCGGGCTCCACGCTGCGCCTCTCCTGCGCAGGCCAGACTTGGCATTCGGAGAGGACCTCATGGGGTCAGGTGTCCTCAGGGTGACCCTCCGTCCGTGCTGGAGCCCCAGAGCATGACTCGTCACAACTACACGCCAACCTCCTGTGTGCAGCTCAGGGCGCTTAGGGGTTTTTCTCACTAATTTTCCCGAGAAGTGCAAGGCCCCTCCAACACCCTCATCCCAGCCCCCACCCAGTTGAAAAAAACATCCCCTGGACAGCTGGAGACAGGGAAGCAGTGGAGCGCCGGGGAGCTGTGCGCGGCTCCTTGGGTTTATTCCGCGTGTTGATCTGACCCGCTTTGCTCCCCTCCGCTCCTTCCTTCCTGACCACAGATGGGCTTCACCCCATGCGAGTCTGTCTTCCCAACAATACGAAATCCTCCTGAACTCCTTAACCCCTTGCTCATAAAATCACTTACATCTGGAGCTGGTTTTCTTTATTTCCTATCATTTGAGCAGAAGAAAGTCACGTCCAGATTGACGGGGAAACCGCAGCGTGCCCGGGATGAATGCAGATGCAGCCCTATCGATAAAACTTCACCCGCAGAAACACGCGCATCAGACGCGGGACACCACGACACACCCGAGTTTGTCCTCCTGGCGTGTTTTTCCAGAGTTTCGTGAGGCCGAATCAAAGGCAGTGGCCCGCCAGCGTGAGTCAGGGCGAGACACCGGAGCCCGAGCCCAGCTCACAGAACGGCGGCTCATTTCAGGGCCCTCCTGCCAGCGTGGGGGCGCTTCTTCGTTCATTTTTAAATGGCATCGCCCCCCCATCCCCCTTCCCGGGGTCTCGGGGATAGCGGGGTCAGGGGGAGATGTTCAGGCTCCGACTGTTGCCTTTGAACATATCTGGATTCGAGCGTCAACAGGAGGTGGCAAGGGCTGGCAGGACCGACACACACAGCTCCCGCATCAGCCCCTGTGGGTACCAGGCGGCTCCCACAGGCGGGAATTGAAAGCGTGAACCACATGGGCGTCGGGGCGGCCACAGACCAGGCTCGGTGCCGCTGCGGCTGCCGTCCTCACGCTCCACGTTTCACCTTTTATCCTTCTCGGCATCACGACTTAATCCACTCTAATGAGGTGATTGCACTGCCAAAACCCAGCGGCCACGCGGCTGTCTTCTGGCACTTTGCGGGGGGGTTCCCGGAAAAGAAGAAGGGGCTTTGTCAGCCTTCCAGGGGACGGAGCATCCTTTCTCGCAGCCGGTATCTCCCACCCCCGCCTGGGACGGGCCAAGCTGCCCGCGGTGTGCATCACGAGGTGGGGGACCGGCGCAAGGTGGCTCGCCCGTGCGCTTAACTGATCGGCGCTTGAAGGACACGGCTGGTGGCCACATGTCACTGTTCGCAAACAGCAGGTGACGGCCAACAGCAGGGAGGGTGTGAATCCTTTGCGGTCCTCACCCATCTGTCCACGTAGCCCCGGTTGAAATGGGGGCGCCCGTGGGTGGATGCTGCGGCAATGAACCTCAGAGGCAAGAAGGTGTTGCTGACAAAGACACACGGAGGAGCCAGGAAGAAAGCAACGGATGGCAAGGAGGAGACTGGGAGCCCGTTTAGCGGGGGCATCCCATATGTTTCCCCGGCTCTGTCTCGGAGCTCCGCAGTGAGGCGGCCACGCCAGGAGATCAGATGTCGCCGGGCTGCGCTCACACCTGCCCCACCGCCAGCCCGGCTGCCTGGCGGCCCGTGTTCATAATTAGCATCGTCTCTTCCGCCGACTTCACACTGCTCAGCCGTGTGTCTCGAGCCCTGGGAAACACCAGGCCCGTGCCCTCTTCCCCCTGCTCCGGGCCGAGGAGAGAGCCCACGGGCTGCATGACACGCTCGGATCGCTGGACTCGAAACCGGGGCCACCCCACCGGCCCTCGCTGAGCACAGCTCATATTTTTACAATCGGTACAATATTTCACTTTAATGGCTTTTTTTTTTTTTTTTGGTTGCAAAGAAGGGGGAGAGAAGAAAAAAAGCAAGCACAATGCATTGAGAGCTCATGGGATTAACCGCATGGTCTTAATAAATGTACACACATCCAAGGCAAGGGAGAAAAAATGCGCCTGCTACACGGCTCGAACCTCCCCCCTCTTTCTCCAGCCTTAATCTGATTTTTGCCAATTCCTTTTGATCTATCAGGGGCCGGCGAGTCAGGTCCACCGGTACAGATGGGCTAAATATGGAGATTAGCGCTTCTCCTCCTGCCAGAGCGCCTAATACCTGATTAAGTCCAGAATCGCGCAATTGTCTCCGAGCTGGCTATCAGAGTGGGGGGCTCGGAAGGGGGCAGGATGAAGGCCGATTTTGTAATGGATACTTATTTTATCCCGGTGCTCTAAGAAGATTAGGCCTGGGGGTGTCACATTAGCCGTGATCTCTGGGCCCCTGGTCTCCTCTCGCGGTTTTCAAACACCTCTCCTCGGCCTTAGAACAAACAGGGAGCTTGGGCCCAGAGACCCCATGTCGGGCATGAATAATTGCCCACTGCAAACTGTTTGAAGATCACAAAGTGCTGTGTAAATTACTCAGTTTGGGCTTCAGCTGGGGTGATTTGTGGTGACTTATTGAATCTTTTCACAGTTCAGAATTAAACTTTCTCCGCTGCTAACTGCAGACAGCATGGAATGAAAGTTGGGTCTTAACTGACAGCGCTCTGCTTAGATCAATCTCTGCAGAAGCCCAGAGGAGCAGGGCGTTCCGAGCCAGCCTCACTGCATTTCAGAGGGAGGGCCGGTCGCCTATTCTTAGCTGCTCTGCCAAGTTATGCCTATTCAGCCAGCGACTTAAAATAGCTATTGAAAGCAAAAAAAAAAAAAAAAGGGAGGGGAACTGCTTGTTTTGAATTACCCACACACGTTTTTGGCGTGGTCTCTTGGGCAATTTTCCTAGCAGCATATCCAATTATTTTTTGTTTGTTTTCAAACACGGCACATTTCTTTAATTAGTGAGGGCAAACAAGTTAGAAACAGAAAGGGGGAAAAAAAATAAGTTTAAGAATGCTAGTTGGGGAAACGATGTGATTAAATGACATTCAATTAGAGGGAATTAGCTGGCTGCTCCATTCCCATCTGAGTTAATTCTGGGTAAGAGTAACTGACCCTGGGTGTTTATGGCCCAGGTGCCAGCACCACTGATGGCCATTTGAACAGAGAGCCTGATTGCTTTTGTATTTCGAATGCATTTGTGCTGTAGGTTATTGCAGGCTCTCTATTACCTGGCATTCTGCCTGCCCTGGTTCTATCCAGGAGGTTGCTTGGAAAAATTAATTACTCTGTATTTTTTCTTCATGTTTACCTAATCTAACTTGCTTTTGGTAAATAATAATTATAATATCAAAAATAGATTCTGTACTCTCAGAAGTAATCATGTTTTTTTAATCTTGACAAATATTTTGGAAATAACGTAAGAATATAGATAACTGCTTTATGGTAAAGAAACTCAGATCATGTTTGTGTGTTTTCACTCTTCTATTGAAAAGTAATAATTCTAACAATCTGTCTTAAATTATCCAGAAACTTATAATCAGCTCTCTGAACATATAAATATTTTTAATCACAAGCTATTAAGAATACATCAAAATTAGAATGTAGAAGAAAAAAATGCAATTATCTATTTAGTGGAAAAGGTTATTACGGTTCTGTTATATAATTGTTTATTTTCTGATTAACTTTTATTAATGTTATATTTTTAAAATAAATGCTGACTAGATATTCATAGCAATTAACACTTTCTGAGTTGGTTTCTAAAAATGTAAAAGAAATCAATCCACCCATCCACAGAGCCCCTGAATAGAATAGTTTCGTGTTTTTTTTTTTTAATTTTTTTTACAAAGGTGCATTTATCACCTAGTAAAGATAAAAAAAAGAGAGAGAGAGAGCAAGGCCCAAATATGCCATGCTTTGTTCTGCAGTAGGATTGGGGCAAACGGAGAACGCAGAGTTGATCCATGTGGATGGCCACACGTAAACAGACAGTTAGGGGACCCTGCCATGCAGCGCGGGGAGCCCAGCTCGGGGTCCCGTGGCGACGGGGCTGAGACGGGCTGGCGTGGGAGGGGCGCTCGGAGGGAGGGGTGTGTGCACACAAACAGCTGAATTCACTTGGTTGTGCAGCAGAAACTAACACAACACTGTAAATCAACTACACCCCAATTTAAAAAAGGAAAAAAGTGGGATTAGTAAATGCAGAAACGTCAGTAATACAGTTTGTGTTGTAAAGGTAGGCAAATTGTGTGATCCTTGTGGAAGCCAGCCTAGTTCACTATGAACCCTAGCATTTACCTAAATTATGGAAACAAATGCGATGCTTAGAAGGACAAACTGCTCTTAGTTCCCTACTGGTACATTTCACCACGCACCTTATGTACATTACACCATGCATGGTGCATTTGTATGTTCATTGCAGCTCAAAAATCCCCAACTGATAGGCAGAGAACAAACTAACAGAACATTATAAACCAAGAGGCTTTTGCTTGGTGGCATACGAGGTGGTAGGAACAACTGAGGTCATTGTTTTGCTGGTCAAGTTCATTCAGATATCATCTACCTCAATTTAGAGCAGGTTACTTCTTGTACGAAGACTGTATTCTCATAGAAATGATGCACTTTTCTACATATTTAGTGACTACCATATTTGAGGCATCACAGTAAGATCATGGTGATATGTCGGTAAGAAACACCTAAAAAGTTTAGACCTGTGACAATGTGGGCATGTGCGTGCAGGAGGAAAGCAGGAAAAAGAGCCACATAATAATAACAATTTGGGCTTCCCCCCTAGCTCAGTTGGTAAGGCATCTGCCTGCAATGTAGGAGACCTGGGTTTGATCCCTGGGTGGGGAAGATCCTCTGGAGAAGGAAATGGCAACCCACTCCAGTATTCTTGCCTGGAGAATCCCATGGACAGAGGAGTCTGGCGGGCTACAGTCCACGGGGTCGCAAGAGCTGGACACAGTTTAGTGACTAACCCATCACCAACAACAATAACAAACAGGTTCCACCTCCTTACCCTCACTTCGTCTGTTCTGAGTGCTTTATTTATGCCTTATGACGTTGTGAGGTGGCATCACCTCCGTTTCATGCAGCGGGGGCCGAGGTGAGGTGGCGTGTCAGGCATCACACCAGGTAGGAAATGGCAGAGCTACCAGGCTCTGGAGTCCCTCCTCTTCACCACGCCGCCTTCCCCTCGTCCGGAGAGTGGCGGACATCCAGGGAAAGGACACTCTCCCTTCGCAGCCAGGGAGGAGTCAGGCTCTTCAAAACGGCAGCATTTGAGCTGAGCCTTGCAGTGTTTTTATGGACACAGCTGGGGATGTGATTTCCAGGCAGGGCTAGAGCCTGCCATTTCAATGCACCAAGTGCTGACGGCCTCCTTCAATGTGGCTGAAGTGCAGGACGGGTGAGGGGCGCAGCTAAGGAGACAGAGATGAAGTAGAGCTGAGGTCCGGCTGCACACAAATCCAGAAGCATTTGGAGGCAGCCCACCTCCACCCAACAGACAAACAGAGGCCATCTGAAGGACTTCAGGCTGGAGTTCAGCGTAAAGTCTAGACATCTGGGTCAACAGGAATGAGTACTGAGGTACACAGAAGTGTCTTCACAGCCGGGAGTGCGCCCAAAATGGCAGAAGCTTGTGGATGGCTTTCTAACGATAATGTATCTGTGTAGTTACAGTGTGAACCTGGGCTTCTTTCACTGTTTGTGATGCTGAGTTAGCTTTCTTGTAAGTTTTACCAAGGGCTTCCCTGGTGGCTCATATGGTAAAGAATCTGCCTGCAATGCAGGAGATGCAGGTTCAAGTCTCTGGGTCGGGAAGATCCCCTGGAGAAGGGAATAGCTACCCACTCCAGTGTTCTTGCCTGGGAAATCCCATGGACAGAGGAGCCTGGTGGGCTACAGTCCATGGGGTTGCAGAGAGTCGGACATGACTGCCCGACTAATACACAAACGCACAAGTTTCACTGAGTCTCCAGTATCCAACTGAAATGTAATCTTCCATTTATCTCGCAAACACCACACAACTCTACATGGCCCCTGGATCTAGGGTTTCAGGCCAAACAAGCTCAGGGATCCCCTATCATCTGTCCACAGGAAATGTTCAAAGATCTTAATGAGCCGGTCACTTGGAGGCTTAGTTCCCTGATCACTCAGTCTTCTTGGGGAGGGGAGGGAAACCTGGCCTAAGCTCCGAGTTCCTGGGGGGGAGAGGATACAGTGCAGCCGCAGTTTAGCGTGGGGAAAATCACCAAGCGTCTGTAATCCGGAGCCCAGGAGGACAAGGCAGCAGAGATGGTCCATCTTGCTGGACCCATCTGCCGGGGGTGCCTAGAGCCTTTAAATGCCATTTGTAGGATATTTCTGTGACATCCAGAGCTTTCTTAGATGATAAGGGAAGATTGGGTGCCATTTCTTCCTACACAGGCAAACTATATAAATGGGGCCCAGAACCCACATTTGGCCTGGTGCTTCATTCTGCTTCAGGATGACCTGGCCAAGCCAAGGAGCTGTGCTGTGGATTGCAAGGGAGCAGGACCATGACGGGTCAGTGTCACGGGGAAACCTCCAAGTTCACGCTCTCCTGGGGCTGGGCCCCTAGTATGCCCTTCTCACAGCAAAAAGAGGATTTGATATAGGTCAACTCGCGATCATTGATGATTTGATGCACATAAGGGGATTAGATACTTGATAGTCTAATTCCCAGCTTGGAACCCCAGTTTCACTCCTTTCATTGCGTTGAGACTTGAGGCAAGCTGCTTAAGTTTTATGGGCCTCAGCTTCCACATATGCAAACGAGGATAAAAATAGCACCCAGCTTGTGAGGCTGGCGTGGGTCTCAGTGCCAGGAACAAAGTGAGCTCCTGTCAACACTGGATTATGTATTAATCA